TTTCGAAGCATTTGAAATTCATAGTTGCATTTACGCGCAACTATGAATTATGTGTGTGTGTGTGTGTGTGATCTAAACCTTTTAGTATAATTTAAATTTCAAAAATCTGAATTTTTCACAGCAATAAACTACTTTATTGCATTAATAAATTGTGAAGTCCTGCAGTTAAAAAATCATACGAGCATTTGCATAAATAAATATACATTTAAAAGGACTAATTATTATTCTATAAGGCATACTCTCGATCAACTCGAGTCTGTTTGCAATTTTTGTTAGCTTATAATCTGTTAATTGCAACTATGTAAAATAAATTTTATTATTTATTTAGTTATCGAATATATTGCCTTCTCTCTCATAGTTTTATCTTATACTCCATTACTTCTAAATAATAATTACATGATAAATGAATTGTAAGAAATGGAGTGAAGAATAACAGCCCATTCGTTGTTCTAACTGTTTTTGTTTATTTGGTAACTCATCAATATACAAATTTGCTGTGAACTTAGGGAAAATAAAGCGGAAGGTTCCGTCTGATCCTCCGATTTACTCAACAATTCACTCTAAATTATTAAAAAAATAGGCATTCCACGCGCGAACGAATACATTAATAAAATCCTCGATGTTCAACTTAGTTCGTTAATAATAATTAATTATTAATAACTTGTTAACAGTCGCTTACGCGCGTTTATGCGAGATGCACACCATCGATCCAAAACGGGCGCGATAATTCACCACTAATATCCTTGCCGCCATTTTCCGCGATACTAAAGATTAGATTGCATCAGATTACAGGCAGTTTTGCAGACACGCTATAAAAATATCAATTAGTCTACTTATACGAGATTATTTAACACCAGCCACACGCAAGAGAACAATTAAACATGTAGAGCTGTCAATTCCAATTATTTTCAAACTGATCTAATTCTAATCTTAAAATCTCGGATTATAATAACAGGTTGTTACATATAATAAAATGTGTGTTCGATACAATGACTAGTAATCTATTTTAAAAGACACTTGGTCGAATATACCTTACATCAAGATCATCGACGAGGTATCCCCAAAGGTACACAATCGCCCAATAATTGTTCGCAGCTGCAAAACGATTGTGGGAATTTCATTGAATTGCCTATACATTTACAGCGAACTCAAGTACGGGGCAAGTTACGAAGCGGTGAAAAATCGTTCCGCGGTTCGGCTCGAGATGCGCAAGTGATGCTCGGGGAAGTGGTAAATGGATACAATCAATAGTACATGACTTCGTTGATATGTCTACTTAACTTCAATCTTATTATTGTACGTCCACCCTATACAACATTCAACAATCTCGATGGGAGACACTCGTATTTATACAGAAAAAGAAGATCACAGGCTTTTATAACACACGCCAGACACGCGATAGTAGAATTTATAATACAAAAATCTATTAGTAGTTAAAATATTATTATTATCATCACCATTATTGTTTGAAGATTTGTCTTGTAGCTCCCGAAACTACAAGGCATTACCGCGTGACGGGTAAACCGCGCCGCGACGGTCACCCGTTACAGGTCGCTGTCTCATTATTATTATCATTATCATTATCATTACCATTATCATTACCATTATCATTATTATTATTACTATAAATAGAATAGAATAGTAAAGAATAAGTGTGTGAAAGACACTTAAAGGAGAAGAAATTCAGAAATTTGGTCACAAAGTACTTTAAGATGAAAAACGTCGCAAGTGTCTGCATAGAAAAAAATATATGTTGGTTAGCGATACAATTTATTTTAAACAAATCAATGAGAGCGATAGCCAGTAGTCACTTATGTTGATCTCTAGTCTGGTAAAGTACGATATACTTTCGATATGCTATAAAAGTCTGTGAAGAAGCCTTTATTCTTACATTCTTCCATAACCTTGTGTCAAGGATAACTTCTTAAATGCCTGATTTCCTCGTTTCGATATAATGATTCCAAAGATCCCCCTGATGGCAGGTAGATCTTCGATTGACTTGACGTGTGAAAATTTCAATAATCCTCTTAGTTCTCGAGACCATCGCACTTGTTAAAATTAAGGAGATTCTCAAATGCCAGGTACCGAAATCAACTGGAGATTCTAAATTTTGGAAATTAGTGGCACACGTTTCGATTCCGAAAATTTTTGATTCTCATAAGAATTTCCATCTTCGAACGGTCAAAGCTGTAAATTCTTGCGTATCCTTAATTTATGTATATTCTGAGATTTATATTTCATCTATAGGGCGCGTTAAATCGCTGGATACTTAGATCTCTAGATTTTATACCCTCCAATATATCAAATTCCCGCAAATTACTTAAAGATTGATGTCAAAAGTTAAAAATAGATTTATTCAAACAGATTGTGTGAAATTCACGAATGAGTTGCCAGATGTTAGAAAATCATGATCCTAAATCCTTTGATTATCAGGTCCTTTTACTAGTTTCATTTTTAAATAAAAGTCCTGGATCCTTGAAAACTTGCAACTTCTTTGTATCCCCTTCCTGTTCCTCATATTACATGAATTTTTTAACGTTTATACTCTGAGCAGTGATATGAATAATCTCTTAGATATGCTATTGCTTTTCGGAAACAAAAAAATCAGGCTGTACACATCGACGCTTTTTCCTACCTTAAATTTACTTGCGTTAAAGAATACGAATCGTACAAAACAGCTAGAATAGCCGCCCATTGAATTATCAAGGGACCTTCTTTCACGCTTTTTCTTTCAAGATTTCGTTTAAATTATAAAACGATGCCGTAATAGCTTACGATGCGACAATTCTGGCGATTCATATTCTATTTTTGTCTAACGACGATACTTGGGTGACTACATTACAAATATATGAATCACACTTAAAACATTTTGTGCCTGATAAAAAGATCGTACGCTATAAAAGTAAAATGTTGAAAAAAAAACTTTCCGAACAATCTTTCAGGTGTACAATAAATCGTTCTTCTAGTTTAACATACTCCCTCGGTTTTGCATACCCTTTTTCTTTGGACAAGAAACTCGTCTACTCTTAACAGATAATATTTTTCACATGCTACTCTCGTGTTTTCACTCTAAAACAAAACTCAATTTTTATCTCACTGAAAAAATACAGTACTCGACAAGCACGTCGCGAATTTCGATACCATCGCAAATTCGCGAAAATTTAAAGAACGCCGAGGTTTCTTTTTAATACCGTTCGCCGTGATGTGAAGATGAAGGATTCTAAACATAAGTCAACCCCGATTCTCGTCTCGCCTCGCCGCGGCGCGGCCGACAGGCGGATATTTCCATTTTGTCTGGCCGAGAGATCGATGGCGATCGCATCGCCATTCTCGCGTACAATTTCGAGAAAGTATTTTGGCCGAGAAACGCGCAGGATATTCCAACTTCCGTGAACTCACTCGAGGCGCTTTGACTGCAGGCAGGTGGGGAGTGACATAAATATCGTCTTACCGAAACGAAACACGTTATCTCGCGAAAAGTTCTCGCCGGAAGATCAAGGGAGTAAACTCTTTAAGTCCTTGCCAGGTGTTCCCAACTCCGTGGACTTTAGCGTCGTGCGACGCACGTGAATTTTTCGAAAAGGGGGAAAAAACCGCCAACGAAACTGACCAGAAATCCCCGTGTGAAATTTAAGTATGTAAAACGTGATATATTCCTCCTTCGTTATACGTGGCGCCCGGCCCCCGATTGAGGGAAGTCTCTCGTTTCCGCAAAGCCCAAATTATCGCCGAAATTTTCAAGTAAAATTTGTATTACAAAATATACATAAAAAAATCTGACAAATTGAATGATGCTAATCGCAATTTGTTTCCTTTCTCCCCTTTCATTTTACAAATTGAATGTCAGCCGCAATTTCGTTACTTCCGCGTTGTAATACACACACTTTTCACGAAACTCGCCGCAGAATAATGAACAAATGCATCATCGTTATTATCACCCTTGCCGGTCTCGTTTTACAACTTATCGGTTAAGTGAGTTTAAAGGAATGTGTACTTTGCAAGCGTTCGAGGGAAGTGGAAGGTCGAACACCAATGAGCGGCTCAATGTTTGTTAATAACGACCATGTTTTCACCGTGCACAATGGTTAAGTCCCACTTTCATGATTACATTGACTGAAGTGTGGCGTTAAATGTCACGGGGACACTATTAATTTTCAATATTACGATACCCTACTAATAAATTCTATCATAAATGTGGTGTTCAATATTTTGCCGTAATACAATAACCACGTAATCTTAAATACAATTATACGATTGGTACCTATGTTTAATGTACCTACGTCAAATGTATGATATCTGAATGAGAATTGGATTTCGGGACTAGCCGGCCACGTGCGAGTACGCTACAGATGCACGGTGTAAACATAGGCCTCATTGTGATTAGCTCCTACTTTCGTAACGAATAACGTTACACGCTTCGCCTAAGCGTCTCCATCATGCGTATAATCAGGGTTATCACAATGTTTAAACGACGAGGGGAAAAACTCTTAAATGCTATGCGAAACGTTTCGTCCAATGTTTGTAATTTAGCGAAATGGCCGAGGAGTAACGTGGAGAAAAATTAGGTACGTGGCGTTAATTAAAGTCGATTGAAAATTAATTGTAGCCAAATAACAGGCAATTTATATGAATATCAACTAATTGTCAATAAAATATCAATATATCTAAAGTTTATTAAGTTACAAAATATCTCGCCGGTGCGTTATTACATCGTTTATGAATAATATATTAATGCGAAAAATTAATACGTATAAAGTATAAATTAATAAAATAAAAAAATTATATTTGAAGGTACTTATTAGAATATCGTAATTTAATTAAAGTTTATCGTGATTTAATTAACTCGATGGAATTAAAATTACGTGAAAACGTTTACGCAATAAAATTAGACCGTTAATCCGTGTGTTATCCTTGTTATAAAATATTTGTTTTGTGTATATATATATAAACATTATTAAATAAATAATTTCACATGAAAGCCGATATGAAAAGACTTAATAAGACATCATTTAATTTAATTACAAAATTTCAGTTAACATAACGGTTTTCTCTCGCGCGTAGCAAATACTACTCGACAAGATGTAATTTCACGTCGCTTCTAAAAACTCAAGTTATACGAAATGCATTTAAAAGGAATATATAACGGATCATAGTCGTCATTTAAACAATCGTGCTTGTCTGATTTCCATGCTCGTTACAATAATCGCAATTTAATATCCGACGTTGGATTAATGAATATTTATCGATAAATCTGTCGAATCAGTTCTTTGCGATTACTCTTACTTAGGGTTAGGTAAGTAGTTAATTAAATTAGTTACTTAGGCGCGTTGATCAGCGGCGTAGGAGTTTTTCTTCACCCCTCCGCTTCTCCGTCCTTGTCACGTATCGTACTTTCCTCGATATATCGTCTCGTGGATGGCTTCGTATCGATTATCGTCGAAAATAAAAAGGAGAAAAGGGACTGTGGTCCAGCCTTTAACGACCGCCTCGCGTCGATTTGTTGCAATCGTGCTTTGAGGATCTCCAAGCATGGACCGTCAAAATTATCAAACGCACAATCTTCTTTTCACCTTGCTTATACATCTTTGACGAAATACTGGAACCCTTGGACCGTGTCCGAGAATTCTACGGTGTGTCATGCAATTCGAGTCGTCGCATCCTTCGTGGGAAAAGCTAGGCCGTTTTTTTAAATCTTTAAGTTCTTACGTGTTAAACTTTGATTTCAACATTGTAGATATCTTAATCTCTGAGAATTCTTGACGAATTACACAACTAAAATAAATACTAAAAATTTTGTAAACCTATCCTCAAAAAGTCTCTTGGATCGTAAGATTTCAGATTTGCAGATAATGGAATGTCTAAACCTATAGATTTCTAATGTCTAGTGTTTTAAATTTTCAGATATTTCTAAAAAATGAAATCTTCACCGTATTCGGAGCTTCATCGATTTCACATGTATATTGTTTCCCGATTATAGAATTCTCGGATCGTTATCCTGCCCGAATTCATTATTCTACTCTCACTCATTCCTAAACTGTTACACTATTACTCTGTTTCACTTGGAATCTTTCTTTTCTCCACATTCCAGAGTTTCACAACTGAAATGGGATGCTGCACGCGATGCGGAACCTTTGACAAAGATAGTCCTTACATTTCTTATCCATTAGGATGTTTCATGCCTCATCAAGTCTCAGTACTGTTATTTGTTACTTGGAATCCTCGAAGGAAAAGAAATCAATTTTTTTCTTCCACACTGTGATTCTTTCTAGTTCAATGGAGAAAGACGCTGGTAACAGACCTGGTGGTGTGAGGAGGCAAATCGGGGGCCTCTGTGAGGGCCCCCTCGTGCCCCTATGCACTCAGACCGAGCCGATGAATCTTCGCCGAAAGGAAGTTGTGCAGAACGAACACGATTGGTTTCGGACAGCTCTCCAAATCAAGCTCCTACAATAGGATTAATCGATACTTCTTACTTACTCGCCGGAGCTGATAGCATGCTTAAGTTTCTTGGCTTCTACGAAAATATCTGCTTTTTTTTAGGCAATCAGTTTTAAGCATCTATAGATTTAGAAAAATAGTAGGGACACGGTTTCTCAGGAACGAAAAGTAGCTAATCATTTCTGGTCGTTGATAAGAAACCCAATGGCACACGTAAGGGTCCTAAAATGACTACCAGCTCGAACAACGTAAATTGAAATAGGGAAATGTACGATTACGCCGAGCGTTCCTTGGTTCTTAAAAACTCGTTCTTAAATTTACGACGGATTTATTCCGGTGACATTAAAGAGACGTTAAATTTTTCAGTCCCCTGGATTTTTGTGCTCTAAAATCCGCGGTGTCTATCAAATACTCACAATTTCGCCATCGTCGCCGCCAAAATCGAGCCACAGAAGACGGGCGCCGTCGTCCGCGGACATTTTCAATTTGTCGAAGGATCTTCTCCAGAGTGGCGTGGGTGGTGAGCCAGGACTTACGCCGTTCCCGGCGGTGCCCCGCGTTCCTGCGGAGTAAAGCGCGAAACCTTCCTCGTGGTTGACAACCAACTGACAGGCCTTACCTTGCCACGTGCAACCTGTAACACACAAAGTATCGCAATATTAAAATAACAGAGTAGCGAAGAATAACAGTTTGTACTATTTAATTGATTCCACTCGACCTCGTCCAGACACTTTTTCCATATTACTTTTATATTTTATTTTCACCCGTAATAGATAGAAATTCTTCCAATTTCCAATCTCGCATATTACGCTTTCATGTTCTTTGTTGTTCAATCAATATTTCTCACTCTATTTGTAAAGGCAATAACACAAATTATAACAATTCAAATTTATACACGCACACGCATAATTTGAACAAGTATTTTAATAAATTGATCGTTCGCCTCGCCTCTTGAATAAAAATTTGGTCGGGTAACTGTAAAATAATTGCAGCTATAAATTTAGCCATTTTGTAAGGCCGGTTATATTACCAGTCAATAAAGGTTGAATTCACTTTTAATCATCATGATCGTAATTACATGATTGCATTTAATTTTTCATGCAAATTGCCCGCGACACGGTATTTCTTTTATGAAGTAGTCTGTATATATTTTTCTATTGCGCGCCTCTGCCGCATCGGTATCCACGGTTCTTTATCATCGACGAGTTCGACGCGAGACGCGAACAAAAAGACGCGTATGAAACGGGCGAGGCATTCATCTCGATTTATTATTGCCGTTCGTCGTCTCTGAAAAGAAATTAAAATTCATCGAACCGAACGCGGAAAATGACGAGAATAGTAGATGTCGACTATCATTCGCCGCTATATATCCAACTTACACAGAGGAAGAACTCGAGTTCGCTATTTTCTCCAAGTATTTAACGCTGCGCGTCTCCGCCTCTCGTCTCTACAATTTTTAACGTCTACTCGCCAATTACTTTCCCAATTTCCCGACGTTTTAAAATAAAAAAAGTCACGTTATCGATAAGCATCAAGTTGTGAATCCGCAAATTGCAATATTAATTCAAGACGTTACGGCTAAAATTCTCATATAGATAAAATTCCGCCTTCAGGTGCTGCTTCATGTGTACACGGAGAGAATTTTCTCTTAAAATTTATCTTGAAAATCACGTAATCATGGGACAACGTGGCATTTTGGATAACTTTATGAGAGCTTTTTGAAATTTTGCCATACATTCTATCAGTAAAATGTATACTGTACTGATAAAGTTCTTCAAAATGTCATGGTGTCCACCCGGAGAAAATTTCCTTTTAAAATTTATCCTGAAAATCATGTAATCGTGGGACAACGTGGCATTTTGAACAATTTTATGAGTTTTTTGAAATTTTGCTATATATTTTACTTTTTTTTCAAAAATATTATATAGACTTTTCAAGAATATAATAAACGTAAATGATTATTCCTGTTTATTCTTTATACATTGAAGTATAAAAAAAATTTATAAATTTTTTTTCAACAAAATGGCGGCGCTAGAGCCTTGGATCCAAAGTGGAAGTCACGGGCGAAAACGCTCCCTCACCCTCTGAGCTGGAACAAAAGACCAACGATTTTTGAAAAATGTATAATATTTTCTTTCGAACTACGTACAGATTTTGCGAGAAGTTCAACATTTTTGTTTTTGCAAAGACTTTTACGAATTTTTTTAGCGAAAAATGAAACTTTTTTTCCAACGCGCACTATTTTTACAAAAAATATCATTGCGTAGTTCAAAAGAAAATGTTATATATTTTTCAAAAGTTTTTGGTTTTTTGTTCTAGCTCAAAGGGCGAGGAAGCTTCGTTTCCGCCCATGGAGCGGCTTCCGCAAAGAGGCACTTTGGATCCATGGCTCTGGCGCCGCCAGTTTGTTGAGGAAAAATGTATAAAAAATTTTTGTACACTTCAATGTACGGAGAATAATAAGGATTAAACAGATTTTCACTGAAGTTTATTATATTCCTGAAAGAAACCACCAAAAATTGGCTCTCTTTGGGGTTTCTGGAGTGCTGCAACCCCTTAAATCGTGCGATGAAATTGCGGGTAATACTTACGAACGGTGTACTCCCGTAAGGAATGAGCAGCCGCGTGGCATCCCTGAACGATCGCCCTCGCCCAGGCCGCCAGATCCCTTCGTGTTTCAGCTCGTAAATGATGCGTGACCACCCCGTCCATCGTGCCAACCCGAACCGCGAACGTCGCCCCGTGTTGAGTCGAGCCGCTACTGCTGCTCGCCGCCTCATTCTGTCGCGTCGGAGAGGAGACCAGTCTGAAAGCATTCGATTCGAGTCGCGTTTCAGTCCACGGGGCCCTTATGAGAGTCGTTAAACGTGTATCAGCCCTTAGTGCCCGAGCGCGAGGCTAAAACGCGCGCTCCAAGCTACCCACCCACCCCCCCCACGTGTGCACATCCACGTTAGACGCGGTTTTCTTACGTCAGATCGATACCGGGCTCCGAGAATGAAGATTGAAGATTCCGCGGGGCTACGAAAATCACGTGACATCGCTCTCGGGGTGTCGGGGCGGGAGGGAGGGCGGGTAAAAAGCGCCGACCTTTATCGAAACGATCGGAGCGCGCCTTGTAGCGAGTCACGGTATGGATTCATCCCCGTCGTCCCTTCATCCCTCTCCCAGCGGGTAGGTAAATTACCTCGTCATCCGGCTCGCCTCGCTCGTAAAATCGTCGCGGCTTTATTGCACGTGGGACGAGGCTGCAGTGTTCACCTGACACGGGTTCGGGCCACGTATGCGCCCCTACCCCGCGCGCCCTTCCTCTCGCCGCGAATCCATTCCCTCCCACCAATCTGCCCGCTGACGAATGGTCCTGACGTTCGCGAGCCCGTGCGCTAGATTTATAGATTTTTCCGAGGGACACTGGCGAGAGCTCGGGGGGCGAGGGGCGGAAAGGGGGCCGGGGGGAGGGGGGGGTGGAAAAAAGAAAAACAAGGAGTGATAGAAAGAACACCCTACGCAATAGAGGACAGAGCGGACGCAAAAAAATAGCACACTTGGACTGGAAAAAATGCCCGCCCCCGGCATTATTCGACATGCCTAACGGCCGCCCCCGGGCCTTTTTCGCTCCGATGCTAATGGTTGCCTACTGCGCCGAGATGTAGTTGAATTTCCGTGACAAAGCGGAGCATCTGGATTGCTAAAATTACACTGCTCAGAGCAATTAAAGGGGTATAGAGGGGATTAGAAGAAACGTCAATTTAACGGCGATTAATCGCAGCCGTGGCATTGTTTCTGAACTCGAAAATAGGATATCGTTTAAATGATGTCCGAGTCTACGAGCCAAGCGATATTGAAACATTTTTTTTATTTCTTAAAAACTTTCTTAAAAAAAAATGAAATTGTTTTTCTTTCAACGAAATTTTTTATTCACCCTGGAAATTATGTAATCGTGGGATAACGTGGCATTTTGAAGAACTTTATGAGAGTTTTTTAATTTTATCATATTATATATTTTCCTAGTATTTATACTTAGTATACATTTTATTAGTAAGACGTATGGCAAAAATTCAGAAGACTCTCGTACAATTCTTCGAAATACCACGTTGTCCCACGATAATATAATTTACAAAATAAATTTTAAAAAAATTATTTCCGTGTAGACACGAACTCTCGAGTCTTCTCCATTTCATCCTTAAACTTTGAGACTGTCTTCGAGCGCTCATCTTGTAAATCTGCTGGAAATAATGCACCCGTACGCCTTATCTCGCCTGAACAGATCTGAACGCGTTGCTGGGTCCTCGATTATCGTTGAGGTTCGAAATAATTTCAGTTCCCTCGGCGCAATGGATATTCATTGGCCATTATCGCGGGCGCTTCGGTGGGACAGTGAAAAAAAATAAAGCAACGGCAAAAAGCGCGACTGGAGAAAATTCCGATAAGCGGGAGGAAGTTGGAGAGACAGCCGCAAACGGTAAATAAAAGCGTTAAACGAGAATGGATGTTCGTCGGCGGTCGTAATCCGACGAAAAAGCCCGCAGGAAGAAAAGAAAGTTTCCCCCGGGATAGCCGAATCACTTCCGGTTTGTCTCGCAGTAAAACTTCCTTAAGTCGGCCATTTCGCGTACTCGCGTCGGGCCCGATACAGGCCCCGTCGACCGGAAATAGAACTTCCCGACACGTTCCGCTCTTTTCACTCGTCGATGGTGTCTTTCAGCCCCTTCGTTTCTTTGCCCGTCGAATGGAAACTTGAAGGAAACGGTGTCTGAATGTTTGGTGACGCAAGAAGAAAATGATTAATAGCGACAACGCGAAGCTCCGGGAAAATTTCTCCGCCGCGCGATATCGATCGAACTCTTATTCCTGTTTCGCGAAAACAGTTATTGCGTATTAAAATTCTCAATTCCCGCCTCGAGATCTACGATGTACAAAAATACACGATTAAAAGTTTCAAAATAAATCTTAATAATTATACTGGATAAAACGGTCTCGAGTGAAAAACAGACAGATTAAACGTAGATTCTCTTTCGATACGGAGAATCAAGTTTAGTAAGTAGCTAAATATTAACCCAATATGTGGGTTAACTTCATAAATAAATTTCCTTCCATTTTGAATAATTTAGTGCTACCTGCATTGCCTCGCGACTGATCAAACGCGATACGCAAGTTTTAGTCGGTAATATAAATAACACTGACTTATTATATTAACGAAGCTAATATACATTTACAAATAATCTCCTATAGCTCCTTCCTGTGATAACATTAAATAGACAACCACCCTTAGGTATTTTAGCTTGATATGAAAAATGGCCGCTTCCGCCGCCTGGGAAACAAGCGGCCTTCTTACTTTGTTGCACGGTATCTTTGTTCGAGGGAAAAAATGAAACTCGCAATGCTCCATACATCCTGTATATAACGGACATGATAAAAACAGAGGCGCGGGCTCGTGAGCTGCCACGAACGATCGATGCCCGTTCCCTCTAGTCTTTTTCACTTAAAATTTAAACGAGGCTTAGCTGGATCACCGATCATTCAAACAGCGTGACTGCCTGACACCGCATTTAAGCCGCTCGAAAACGCCAGGCTCATCGTTAAAAATGAAGCTGACGTTAATACGCAACAACGATGCGCGGGAAAGTTTAACGCGATATAAAGTAATGCAACGAGACATTTCCGACGTTACGCAGTAACATAACTTGCGCCCCGGGCGTTTTATTTTTCTGCGTATTTGCGAGGGGAAATCTTCGTGGCGCACATTAAACAGTAATAGTTTTTGCATACATATATTATGATAAATTTTACACGATTTTAAATGTAGAACAGAAGATTGTCATGTAACATTTTGCATGGTATTCCGTGAATTTAGAGATAAATTTTCTTCAGCACAGTTTTTCAAATTTTAACATTCACGTGTCATTTTTATAACTACATGCGTGACGTAAGAGCTTTCGAGTATTTAAAATACGTCAGAGAAACGAATTAAAGAATAATTCTTTAATTCTTATATAATAATAATTCGAGATTAAATTTACAACAGAACATGTCCCCGAAGCTTGATGCTAACTTTACGAAGTACTGCATATAAAAAATGTATTCAACGAAACAGAAAACAGGAATATTTCAGGGGGAAGAAAGGAAGAGAAGAACAATATTTAGACTGAAATGAAGAAGTTTGTACTTAAAAATCTCTGCTTTTCTTTTATCCTTAAAAATTAAACTTAAAATATAGCACTTAAAACGTATCTTTCGTGTATTTTGTTTTAGTTAAAACGTTTATTACATCTCATTAATTTCCACATTTACCAAGTAACTTTGATTCCTACACTTCATTACATTTATCTATTTAAATCCAAATTTCAAATTCAATAATTGGATACAGGGATTTTATAAAATTAATCGATAATAATAAAGCGTATATTAATCTTCTGCAATCTTTTATATAAAAAAAATTTTACAGTTATTTGTATCAATTTTATTAAAATTATTAAAAGTATTAAAACTTTGTAGTTATTAATAAATTTTTTTTATTGCACTTACAATTAGTATATTAAAATCAAAATTAATATATTTTAAAAACTTAGCATTCAAATTAAAATATTATGTAAATTAAACAATTTATTATTTTAGTAGTTGAATTAAAATTAAACCGGCTTACGTGACAACTTTTACAACGCGTACATAAAAGTGAATAACCGAAATTCGTTGGCGTCAAAAATAGCGTTCGGTGACGAGGAATAGCGCGGGATATTAAATCGCGGGAAATCTGCGGTAAAATCCGATTAAGATGCGAGATCTCGTCATGACGAGTATCGACTTTCGGCACGATCCCATTAGTTCAGTCGCAGCGGCTATATTTGCCGATCAACGGCGTCGAAATTCACTATGAATTATCAATAATTCGATTTGTGTCGGCGGCACAGGCGTTTATATATAATTTATATATCCTTCATATTTACCTCTGTGGATTATGTACTTACGCAATTCATCCTAGCGCGATTGTAAATCGAGATGAATCGACAGAACTCAAGGAATTCAAGGATATACGTTAACAATGAGATAACGTCGATAAATGCGACAGACATTTCCTTCATGTTTTTAGTTAGACTTACGTTGTCTTTATGTACAAATTTGCGAAAAACCAAACGCAACTCTGCCGGCGTCGTGTCCACTTCGAGCGAGTTACGCACCTGAAATCGATAATATAAGAAGCCGTCTTACGTGTCTCGAACGAGGCCGAAGGGCCAATCGGAGAATAAGGACGAAGGGACGACGCGGTTGCAGGATAGGGGAGGATGCGCCGCGGGCAAAATCCTGAACTCGTTCCGAATATCGTACCTCGATTGCACGCGCGATCGGAAACTGTCGACGACACCTTCGATAATTAATGTCTACCCCGGAGGATTTAATTGATCCAGTTCACCGTTCGATTATCGGGACCCCATCTTTCATATCCTGTCCTGCCCCTCCCCTCCCCCCCCCCCGCCCCGCCGACCTCCCCTACCCCTTTTTCAGCCGCTCTTATCTGGCCCTTATCCGCCTAGCCGACTCTATCTCTATGGCCTTTAATTTACTATGGCAGACAATTATGAATCTTATTAAGCCGACGCGAAAAGCACGGTAAAGACATATTACGTTTAAGAATATAGACGCTCTAAAGATACAGGATGAAAAGAACTTGGATACTTTGACGTGAATAATAATACAAGAAATAATAGTAACGCAATTAAAAAGTTTATCATCGCAGAAACTTGCACGCGCGCGTGCACTCGCATATATTATACAAGCGCAATCGAGCGTAAAAAAAAGAAAGTGCATTAT